AATCAACTTGCAGTGATTGCACTTTGCTGTATCACGTCTTTTGAGATTTCTGATCTTCATTTGTGCATTTATAGTCTAGTCTATAGTATAGTCAAATAATTGTAATAGTTATACACAAAAGGTAATGTACCGTTTATACCTTGTGGACAAGTGACAAAATTAGTTTGGCTTGAATGGTGTTTTGATTTTTAATTTGGGACTTCAAACCCACTTATTTGGGCACCTACTACAATCCCTCTAAATGTAAGTGACATTTGCATCCTTCTACATCAGACCGCCTTAATGGTGCCACCAGCCAAAGCAACAGTAGGAAAGACATGACCAGGATACACACAGAAAAAGTCAAGTGTACAGTCAGAGTAGCCACAGGCTGACTCCTCGCCTGGCTGAGGAGACTGACAACCTGTCCGACAACTGTCTGAGGGATGAGTCAAGGAGCTGCTTGACTCATCAAGAAGATGAAGATGGCGGGGAGCAAGGGATGCGAAACGAAATTCACAAGTGATTGCTTTAGTTTTCAGACATGGGCAAGATTAGGGTTTGACCTTCTCCTGAACTTGAATTAAAAAACGTCATTGAGATATTTATTAATAAACACAAGATGGGTCAAATATTTTCCACTTAAGTATTTCCCGTGCACACTCTGACTGGAAATAATATTTCTAAAGTTGCCCAATACACATATCTGTTTAATAAGAGCCAAATTAAGTACTGTAAGTACTCTGTGATTTTCAGCTGCACTGCTATAACAAGAAAAGTATTTTTACAACGAGGGGAGCTGCATCAGTGTTGGCTGCAAAGGAGCAAGTAGAGCTTAACCCCACGCTGAAAGGAGAGATAGGAAACACTCAGGAGCCACAATGTTACTGTATGTTTCTCCTTTCTATTTTTCAGCATGGAATTATCTTTACTTATGCATTTTTAAAAAGTCAACTTGGAAAATGTTTTAAATTTTTTTTAAATGATCTTTAACGTCTGCAAGTGCTGTATCCAAGTTTTAGATCTGAGAGATTACAACTCTAACATGCACATAATGCTTCTTGACCATAAAAAGAAATATTTGCTTTGCAAAATTGCAAGACTTAGGCTGTTTTGTTCATTAGACATTTTTCATCCGTTTGTTTCTTTATTGCTCATACTAGAAATAGGAGACTTACTAGTACACATGACTGCAAATATGGATTTCTTTTTCCATTTACAGTGTTTTGCAAAGGTATTCACTCCCTTCCAATGATGATTTATTGGTTGAATTTAAAGTTAGTTATTTCTGTTTTTAAAGTGAATATTTTTCTTTACAGTTTTTGCTGACATTTAACTTTTTTTTAAAAGAGTCAGAGCCTAATGCTGTAGGCACAGGGTCCCAGGTAGGATCGCATGGTACACACATTCCAGGCTCATGAGCCAGTAAATCATGTTTTTGTGCTGTGGGATGAACCTGGACAACCCAGACAAAACCCTCACTAACACAAGGAGAGCATGCTGACCCCCAGCAGGACTCGAACCCAGGATCCTTAGACTGTGGACATTATTAAGACTACCTACCAAATATGAAGAGGTATCATTGACAAATAAGCAGAGTTTAACAACATCTCATTACACATGCGAAGTTAGTGGATAACCTCGTTTCAGACACTGAGGGACAATACTTGTCTGCAGCTGTGCATCTTATTCATGTTCTGAGCGCTTTGCTGCTCTTGTCTCTGATAACGTTATTCGCCATGCATGTCAATTAACCCAGCATTGCGGCCTGATTAAAATCTCTGTAAGGAAGCACATTGTGGAAAACTGCAAAAAAGACATGGAGTAACATCCCTGTCTAATGCCTTGCTCTAATACATTGTTTCTTAGTGGTCTGCTCCAAATAGGTTTTGTTGGAACTGTATGACTAATCTAACAATCTACATTATAGTATATAAACTACTGATTTTGTATCCCCTTTCCCAGCATTTTCAGTGCAAAAAATACACTATACCTACCTTTCTCAAATGCAATCTAATTAAAAAATAGTATATTTATTTTCATAAAAGATCATTTAATTCAGAAATGTAACTGCTGTTTATCTTTTAACAGCCAATGATTCATGTACTTTAGCAATCTTTAAGAGCACTGATCATGAAGAAATTACTTTTCTTTTTTAGAGTAAAGACCCCATTACTTAAATATACTGTATTGCTCACTGGCATGTGGTGTCATTTTAAAAATACACAGACACAGTTAATTTTGACACCTACTGCCTGTGGTTATCCAAACTATTCCTAGTGGCAATATAAAAATAATTAAACTAATAAACCTATCCACATAGCCCCTCTGTAAAAAAGAAAGTTCGCATTAGTTCATCAAGAAATTGTAAAAGTGTAAACCTATATTTTATAGGTTCTTAATTTAGTCTGAGAAGCTATTCACTAGTAAAGAATACAACATTGTTTACTTGATGTACAGTAGTTTGCTAATTACTTTAAGACATCTTCATATAACATTTTTTATAATTTTGGAAAGGAAATAGATTTTTTATTTTGTCATTGCCTGTTATTTTATAAATCGCGGCACTTGTAGAAACAATCCAAAACATGGCAGCCATATCTATAGTAATCATGCATAACTGATAATGACGTCTATGAAAAGCATTCCCAAGTCAGCAATCATCTAGAGTACTATTAACAAAAAAACCTACAGGTATCTGATATAAAGCAATACCCACAGGTGCAAATAAAATATAGAAGGAAGGGAATGACATTGCAAGCTCTACTCTATAGTAAGCAAGATCTACCGGAATGCTACTTTCAGATTCTGGCTTCAGTTCTTCTCCTAATTTAAGAGAAAAAAAAAGTTCATGCATATCTTACCTTGATGTACTAAAAATGTACATTTCAACGGGAATGAATGGGAAAAGAACCAGCATTAGAAATAAAAGTATTTTTTAAATGTTATTATTATTGTTATTAATAATACGGAGAACTGCCTAAAGTGTTCAGGCTAAAGTTTCACAAACATTAGTAGTTTAAACATAAAATTGATTTGAAAAAAAAATCCAGCAAGATTGGGTGATATAAATACAGTACATTCAAAGTTCAGGCTGAATTTTAAAATTTGACTACAGTAAGTGGCCATATTATGGAAATATTTACATTTTTTACTGATGCATTTGTGCACGTTGACAATGTTGTGGATGCTTTGCAAGTCTTATATATAGCATATAAGACTTCCTTATTTCTTGTAGCACTTTCCTATTAGAACTCACCTATACCATCCTATTTGCTTCACAAGCAATAAATACTCAATAGTGCAAATAAATAATAGATCATGGTATCCGAGTAGTGTTTTTTTATCTCCAAGGATGTCAGACAGCTGTACGTATAGGAGGAGAGGCATCTCAGGCACCACTCAGTCCAGCCCCACCTGGGCCACACAGCAGCCGTTCTGCACCAGGAGCCCCACTGCACAGCTGGTCAGCAGGAGGAGGAGTACGGAACTGAGCGGAATTAAGGGGGAACGTCAAGGAGGCCAGACTGTACAAGCCCGTGGTGGAACATAGCCAGGACATCAGGTTTAACAATCCTACTATTATGAACGGTGATACTGGATCTTTAATAACCAAATCGTCAGATTAACACTCAGTCCAAAGGATTGCGCCTACAACAGCACTTCACCAGACTGGGGCATTGGTTTGGGATTCTGGTCCAGGGGGAAGAGCGCCACCTACTGCTCCACCTAAACCATTAACAGCGGCAGCCTGGTTTCCCTTAGAGGTCTCCATTCTAGTACTGACCAGGGCAAGGATTGCTTAGCTTCTGAGGCCTGCCATGATCCAAGTCAAGATGGCATACTGTCAACACCACTGTGCTGTATCTCCATGCATTAACACATATTCTGGGTTAAAAAATACTCCTCATTTTCTGATTTTTCAGTAAACTTTGCACTCCGTTACAACTGCGATACAGACATCACTTCTCATGACATATTAGAATGATCTTTTTATATTACTTAGTGACAATAAACTCTAAATGTTAGTATCGTGCACTTCTCCATACATTTAAAATATATTTGCAATCAAGAATCAAGGTGTTTAGTACAGTGCCAATTCTGAATGAAGATAAAAAAAACAAATTACATCAAAAATGCTAACAATCTCCCTCGGGCCTCATACACGTCGAGCACCCAGTCAGATTAATGTCCAATACAGATGTCTGTGGACACACAGCAACTCAGAACAGGCAGCATTTCTTGGATGACACAGTAACTCTGACTGTTCAGGGTAAACTGACCACCTGTCAGCTGGGAGGATAAATCAGATCTGCCTGAGGTTGCCATGGAAACTGCTGTATGTCGTTTGGCTCCATTGAAAAATAATGACGTAGGTCATCCTGATAAGAACAGGCCCCACATACATCAATTTATGTATTTTTACTAAGAGGAAACCCTCTGCATGTAGAAATATGTCACCTCCGTGACTAACCCAAAGATACAGTGTCTAGAGTTAAGAGTTTCAAATATTAAAACACAACTCATATTTTCAATTCGCAATAGCAACCAAGTGAAAAATACATTGCAGTTTTTCTGAAAATCCATGATTCCTGAGAAACTAAAATAAGCGGTCATCTTTAGGTACAATTTTGATATCTTTACTTGGTCATAGACACCAGCCATCGGTCTCTGGGACAAACCTTGAAGGACTATCAGATAAGCACGCTCTCAATGAAACCCATTCTTTCCCATCAAGGACACAGTCAATTGTGTAGATGATTTAATAAATAAATAAAATATATAAACTAATAAATATTAGATGACACATCAAATATAAAAGATGTACATAAATACATGAAATGATAATCATTATCAGTGTGTTTCTGATTACAATGTAAACAGTCACAAAGTCATAACAAAACTGATTCACCTATAAAATTGAAATCTTGGCTTCCAATGCCAAATAAGCACCATACTGACAATATGTTCTGTGAACAAGCAGTTTTGAACTTAAAAAAGTTCAAAAAGTTAATACTTACTCAGAAGAATCTATGAAGTATATTACAAGTGCTCCGATGCTGAGTGCAAAGACTAACACAACCTGTGAAGACAAAAGGAAAGAGAAGCTCAGTACAGTGAACACCAAGCACAAGCGTACAGTACTTTACACTGGCTACTGTAGTTCCCAGCTTACACAGATCATTCTGATTTCCAGGAATCTTGCAACATGCCGAAACAATACCATTTCTTACAGTTTTAATCAATGCACACCATGAAGATTAAAGGGCTGTCAAATAGTCCTTCTCAAGTGCTTTGTTAGTGTCAGAAGTGAAGCCTGCAAATACTGTGAACGCTGGCTTGTAGAATGCAATTCCAATTGCATTTTGACTTCAGCAAATGAATAGACATTATCCTGACCAGATATATTTCTGGTTAGAACAAGAGGGGCAGTGGTAGTCTTTGCAGCATTATGAATGACAATGGATTACAGCATTATAGTGTAGGTGTATTATAGTGTAGGTGTATTATAGTGTAGGTGTATCATGCTTAATGTAAGGCTATAGCCCTCAAAGTTGTAATATGAAATTAGGTTTGGGTAACTCAATACACTTCCAGGGGCTGACATTTTTAAAGATTAAATTATTCATAATTTTATAGAATATAGGACATGATGCTCTAACTAATGGACAAGCAAAGATTAAGACAATGAAAATACACACAAATGTTTTTTTTAATGTCATTTATCTAAAATACCCAACAGGGCATTGTAAAGCCGAGCAACCTGAACACTGGTCCTAATAACTCTTCCCTTGTGGCAACAGACAAACGTTAGCCCTGTGTTTGAGCAATGAATAACACACATCCAATGAAATCACAGCATTTTGCAGAAGAAATGTTAAACTTTTCAAAAAGAAAGAAAAAAAATGATAAAGCCTTTTTAATCAATACAATTTAACCTCTGAAATATAAAAATGTGGGCTCAGCCATATGCTGACTCATGTATGAGATTTTAGAGGGAATCTTTACATTCCTGTCTGCCATGTGTAGTGGATCACTCTTCCAGCTGCACTTCAATACCAGACCATTACTGAAATAACAATAATAGCAGACAAGTAAAACCTCTTTTTTTAATTGGCTAAAAGGGTAAAACCAGTAGTGCCGAGTCATATCATGACATGATCAACAGCATTAGCTCTAAAATGAAAGATCTTGTCTGTCATTCCTAGAGAAGCCAAAGGGAAAAGGTTTGCAGGTGATTAGAAACTTAAAACTAGGATGCATTTATAGAGATAAAGATTCTTTGAGACCTTTTAAGCCCAGACACCCTACTTTGTGTTTTCTTTACCAAGGGTGAAAAGGTAATCAATAATATATCAGCAGTAAGTGAAACAAACACTTCAGATGATTAAAAACTTGTTACAGGTTAATGGCTCTGTGAGGAGCCTGGGGTATTCATCAGATCATGTACTCAGAAATGTCAGCTATTCCGTTTTGTGTGTAAAGAGAAACATACCCACCAACTCTATAATAAGCTCTGACTCTTGATCTTTAATTTTCTACACTCTAATTATTTGAGTGCCCTTTTATGAAGTATTGCATCTGAGGATTCTTTAAGTGGCCAGCATGTTGAAAATTCTGTTCAGTCAAATGTCAAAATTACTAATATTCATCATAGAAAAAAATCTGGGCCATTATAGTTTGAAGTTTGCACTGAATACAAGATCTACAGGAAGGAAGTAAAATAAATTAAGAAACCACTTTATAAACCAGCTAATTGAATAGCTATGAATAAAAGCCCATAGTAGTTCCACCCATGTAATATGTTTGCAATGCTGCCATTAAGCTTTCTCGTGACTTTCCTAAAGGACCCTAGATTGAGGGTATCATGCAGACATTCTACATGTTACAGCTAATGTACATAAAAAAACTGCAAAAAATACAATCTACACTGCAAGTATTAATATATCAGTTGAAGTTTGAGGAAAAGGTAGTTTTGCAGGTCATTCATGAGGAGAAAGCACGAATATTCACACAAAAAGAACAGGTTCAGATGAGTAGCATTCAACTCATTTGGTTTTGGACACCATGTTATAGAAAAGATATGGAAAAGATGGGCCAAATGGCCTCATTTTGTTTGGAACCTTTATTATGTTATTAAATGATATGAGCTTATTTACAAATTAGGCATTTCATCTGCATGTCAAAGCATGACTATGTCCATTAGCACCGCTCTCACATTGGGTATCTACTACAAGACGCAGGTAATCCACTGTGAAACAACAGCTGCAAGATAGGAAATAAGGCACAAATGTAGAATTCCTGACAAACTGCTCTTGAACTGATGTACATACCTTAAGTTTTAGTTGCAGTGTCTCTGTCCATGGTGCTGACTTCTACAATACAGTACTGTACAGTATGTAGAAAAGGGCAAATCTAATCCTAGAGAGCTACATGACACAGTGTTTTGTGTTTTTAACAATCTCTGATTCCATGCTGAAGGAATTAAATATTTTTTTTAAGTTCTGGCACTAATGCATATTTTTATAAAACAAAAAATGGGACCCTTGTCATTTTGCAGTGCACTAGCTTAGGTATATTGTCTTAAGCACTATTTGGCAGCTTCGCCTATCATGGTCTGGTAATATACTTTAGATATTTTCCTAAAATACATGGACTATGCATTGTATATAAGGATATGGCATGAGATGGAAAAAATAAACAGCAATTGTTTAAATCATTAAATTTGTTTTATTGGTTATGCTTTATTCACACTGCAGTGGAATACTGAAAAAAAAGTCTGATACAAATTGTACAGACTGCATTTACACCTAGGGCATTGGCTGCAGGAAAATAATTATTTTTATGTTATATGCTGTATATATGCAGCAATGAAACCTGTGCTTCAGCTTCACAAAATGCAGCAACTTAACCTGGATTCAAGTGGACTAAAAGGGCAGACTTAAACTAAACTGGGACACATTTTTCATTCAGTAGATTGTTGGCATAGGACCATATTAATTTTAAATCCCTGCATGGCAAAGACATTGTGACCATGCTGTGAAGATGATGAGATTTATAGGCAATTGTTCTAGAATTCATCATTTTGCAAATACATGGAATTTTCTCTTCCCAATTTTAAATAATAAAAAGCTTTAAACAAGACATCCTCAACAATAATTTGGATGTACTGTATCATTAACAAGAAACTCTTAATTATTGTGCTGACTTGTGAAACAACTGTCAGTCAACAATTGTCAGTCCTACACATGACAAGGTTACATAAAAAAGACCAAAATATTATATATTCATCAGAATACAGAAATGTCCAATACGTCTTAAATATAAATTTAAAATACTTATTTATTATATCGCAGTACCTTAATGTAGTGACAAAAACATGTATGGACTTAAAGAATAAATAATAAAAAAACAGCTTAACGTACCCTCAGAAAAAAACAATACTGCATGGCATTGGGAGATTTTGATCTGAAAAGTCCTTGATCATGTTTCTTTTAAAATCAATCATTAAATGAAATCAATTGTGGAAGTGCATTTAAAGCTAAGAACCGGAGGTGCCTCTTTACCCAGAGGGTTGTGGTTGTATGGAACAATGTAGATTCTTGTGTTCTTGAATCTTTTATCTGGTTCACAATGGAAGAAAATCATTTTTAATGCATGCCAGGGATTGAATAAAAGGCATTTTCAGTGCAGAAACATTGTGTTACTATAATCACTGTGGTATGCTAGACCACAAAGCTTGTTTTAATAGAGGAAGACTGATGTTATAGACTGATGGCGCATGCACTTTAATTCTGTTTCTACACCAACCACACATTTTACACTCTGTTAATTGAATACTCAACTCAGTGATGTTCAGTTCATGAATAAAGTCAAGCAATAAAGAAAAAAATAGCACTGGATTAAGGGAGCTTCTAAATACTGAGATACATAAATGTTTTACATAACAAGACACAGAAGATCAGCTTGACCTGGGGTGCCTTTTGCTATTTAGTTATTACACAATGGATGTTCTGCAAAAGCAGATCTTTGTATGCATAATGGATGAACAAAAGGCTGATTAGTTTCCATGATGTGTGTTTGGTCTGTTATTCTGCATTGTTTAGATCACAAATGAGAAAACACCTTGATCATTTTTTTATTAGTGGTCATTTTTTTGTTTTCTACTTAGGGGGCTTCTGGGAAGCACCCTGCTTGGGGATTACAGAGTGTGTACAGGGTGTGACATCAGATCAGTACCCAATTCCCATCCCTTTCTAATAACTGGATTCATAAGAGCCAACTCTGAAAAGTGCACATGATGTGTTTGTCGGCTTTTATTTAATGGTTATTATCAAAAAGCTTTATATTTAATAAAATAAAAAAGTTATATTATATTATTCACAAAAATACTTCATCTATGCTGCTGTATTGTAGCTGAGGGCTACAAAAATGGAATATTATTTTTAAATATCCATTGCCACAAGAGGGCATAGTTAGCTTATCCTGTGTTGGAAAAGCAGAATTTCTTTTAGGTATTGAGTCCTCTGGTTAACCTGACACATTGGAATTAATCTGTGACTGTGTAGAATTCTACAATGGCATGGGCACCAAATACCTTGAGTGTTCACCCATTCCTTAACACCAGCAGCAATACCCAATACCTTGCAAAAGATACACCAGTAAAATCAGCACATTACAGCCTGTTGATTTATTTAGCTAATTAAAAAAAATATGGAAGACTGTTATGAAAATATATTATTGCCCAAGTGGTAAAAAAAAGTTATGTACCCTTTTCTTGGATTGGTGCCTCCTTCAGGCTGATTCCTAACTGCTCGGAAATGAAGCTTTGCCATTCATAATGCTTGTCTTACTGCTGCAATTACCGAGGAAGTGTACAAGAGGAGTCTGCCCTCTGGATATACCAGATGACCAAAAGCTGCATAAGAGAGCGGCATTGCATAGCGCCCAGTTTTAGATGTCCTCTGGCAACACTGCACTGTGCGTGAACCAGTTTGCACCAGAAGAAAAAGTCAACTTGCTAAGGATGTGGTATTGCCCACCCAAGATGGTCAAGCCCAGCACTTGACCCCAGAGGCATCA